ATGAAATTTTACTTGTCTTTAAAAACGTGCGTTAAAGATCATGGGGATAGTTTTAGCCGAGCGATGTAGTAAGAAGGATTTGATAAGTATGTGCTGAGGTGCCCTATTTAGCTGTTTGGTAAACATTTTGGTCTTCTTAAACAAATAAGCGAAAAATTTTGAAACCGCTCGATGGATTTTTTAAATTTTCAGAGTCTCGAGATTAACCGTCGTTTTGTATTACCCTTAAGTTTTGAGATTATTGATGTCTTGTAAGGCAGTAAAATACGAAGGGCTGCGGCGACCTGAAAAGTTTGACGCGTCTAACGCATACCCTCCTCTTCTCCCCCTCGATCAAGAAGACGAAAGGAGGCTTTGATCACCAGGTGGAGTCCTCATGATACCAGAAATGATTTTCTTGTTACCATGTAAGCTCTTTTCTACTTTTATGTGGCCTTTCTTCTGCCTCTGGTACAGGGTACTCGGTAAAACAGACATCTACAGTTGGTCCGTTCCTTTCTCTGATCCCTTTATTTGACTGTTAATAAGACGGACATCAGCCTTAGACAAACAGTCAGTGCGCGTCCCAAAGGTTCCTCTTAGAAACAGTTTACTGGTGCCTGATGATTTTACTAGTGTTAATCGTGTTTTGTTGTCGTTGTTTTTTTTGTACTGGTGAAGCAGTTTTGAACCTCGTTGGGGGAAGCTTCTATACTTGAATGATAATACGTTATTTAATTAGCAGGAGAATGTACATTTTGTATGCATTTTTAAATCTGACTAGACTTATTGTCTCGACTAGCAGCTTACACCTCACATTCGATAATTAACCTTAAAGGTCTGAATAGGTATAAAGCACTTAGCAAATATGAAGGAGAAGCCTTTTGAGTGTCTCGGCGTATCGTCTTATAAGGAAGTAAATGTATTGAGATACTGGTCAACCACCCTTAGAAAAGTTGCCCGAACAGACTAATTCAGCTCAGCAGACTAACGTAAGCCGGCCATCTCTTCAGCTCTCATTTTTCGCTCTAACAGGTTAACTTTATCGCGATGGGACTTCATACTTAGTTTCCATTAATGTTAAACACTCAGGAGACCTGAAAACCTCATAAGAGAGCTTTAGCAGTGTTAGTGTCATCAGTCAACTATTTTCTCTGGTCACGCAAAAAACTTGCATATAATATATGACCAAAAATAAAGAATCAATAAGACCTTTTAAATGTGGAAAACAACTGTTTGAGTTAGTTTTCTAATTTTTAGGTCTCCTCTGCTAATTCTTGGAGCGTGATTCCTTCAGTATGAAGACTGCTTAATCGTCGATTAAGCGGTATTAAGATGTACCTGGATCAAAAAATGAAAGCTGTAGGTAAGTCTTAGTGGAAAAAAGAGACTCATTACCGGGAATAATAAAAAAGTATTTACTATTTGATAGGTAACTTTTCTTTGGATACCGGGCGCCGTAAAATAATTAATTTTATCGTTTTTAGTGAAGAAATCTCACGCTTTTAGAAGGCAACCGGCAGTATTGAAAGCCATAATTTACTATTAATTTTATTCAAAAACTGGTTTAAGATGTCAACAAGCGAAAATAAAAACTGTCTGACAAGTGGTTAATAAAATGATTTACTTCTGAGTTTTTACTTTTTCACCACATGTGCGGCTAGATTCCTCGAATTTCGTGTACATGTTGGATTGAAAAGATTGAAACTGGATTTCCAATGTATGCAAGGTTTTCAGTAGCAGTAAGAAGACGTTATGTTAATTTAAAGCTTAACAGCGTGCAGTTTATTCATTGACTTGCGGAAGTTGGAATGCAGGGTTTCACTAAGGGGCGTCAAAAGGGGAAGGGAAAGCAAAAATTCTGGCGCGCGAGGATGTTGAAAACGGAAACCTTTTCCCCTCTTTTCCCTTTTCCCTCCTCGTGCTCCCCTCGCGCTGTCACGTCCCCAATTCCCGCGTGCTCGTTCCGGTTTTAAAGCTGCCACACAGGCTACTTTTAGGGGATTAATCCTAATTAAACCCTTCTACTGTTAAGTGGTTTCTAAAGGGTTGCAGTTGTGTACATTGGCTTGCACCTCACACAGACTGCAAGCAAATGTTACGACATATCCCTTTAAGAACAACAAAAAATCGGAAGATTTAAAAGGGAGTTAAATGCTCATTTAAGGTACTGAAAATTTGATGCGCTTTACCTCAAGTCCACTAACAGCCTTTACTGACTGTTGAAAAATGGCGCAGAAAGAAAATTTTCCTTAATGTTCCGTTAAAGGTATTGCATGTGACGAGCGGACGCTTTCTGAACATAACCCATACTTGTCGCGCCAAGATGGTACTTGTCCTTGCCAAAACCCTTGACATTTACTTGGCTTTTTGAAAGACGGTGCAGTTTGCCCAGTAAAAGAAGCATCATCAACTATTAAATTAGTTAAATTACGAACAAAGTGCAGGTGCAATAATATCTTTAAATGATTAAGAAAACAGCAGATGGTTGATTATAAGTGACAGTTTGAAGCGTCTCCCGTTTTTTTAGAAAACGTAATGTGTTCTAAAACGCTCGACGTGGCATGCCGCACGTATTAAAACCTCAAGAAAACTCAGCTCTTAGTTACATCCCAGGTTTGGCCAGCATGGCTGCCCTTATACAGGGAATACAAAGTTTAGGAAACAGACTGTAAACTATCGTTGCCATTGCAATCAGTAATGACAGTAAATCTGGTGGAATATGCATGAAACTGCTTTTGCGGAAAGAATTGCGTTCAAAAGACATTTGATAATCTGAACTATTGTTGCAGACAGGGCAATTTCGCACTGCACATTGGGACAAAGCGAAACTCCATTTCTATTAAATTTACATTGTATATGAAATCAGTCAAAATAAAGGCAAAAAGTATCATTTTTAGTTCTCTTTAGTTTGCATGTAGTGATGAAATACTTTTGGTAAATTAAAAGTCACTGATCATGCTTTTGTTATTCTTATTGTTTATTTATGCTTTAAGTTAACTATAAGCTAACAATATAATAAAGTACACGCCCGTACCTGTTGTAATACCGTACGGCGTTAAAAGCCAAAGAAAATGTTGTTTTTGTAATATGCAGCATGTAGCGCCTTTATTACCCAATCAGCTTGTTTTTACTTGGTAAGAAGATTTAGCATATTTGGATCCTTGATTTGTTAAACGCGAGCGCATAAAACAAAACCCCCACCTGTCGACAGGCCATTACCTCTAGATTCAGCAGCAGGATGGACCTCAGGAAATTTACCGTTTTTGCCTTTCTCCTGAACCTGGGGATTCTCGCTACAACTGTAGAAGGTACAGAGCTCTTCTTTTCATCTTAGGCCGTTGCAATCTACATGTTTAGGTTCTTATACCTGACAAAAATGTTACTTTTTCTAGTAGCAATTGTTTTAAAATTCTTAAACTTCAATCTGTTGAAACCCAATTCAACTCGGTCGAAGACTTTTTATTTCATTTACATTTTTTTAGAGAATATACTTGTTCTAGATCTCAACTAAAGCAAGAATGTCTGGAGGTTAGATCATTTCAATTCATCATAGTGATTTGCTTACAAATGTGGGGGACACAACCGCCACTCCATCTCACTTTTAAGTAACTAAATCAGTGCTCGCGGAGCTGACGAACTGTGAAGTCGATTCGGATGTATTTATCATCTCGTTATTTGCGAATCCTCTACACGCAATGTTCTCAAGAAAATGACTATATTTTAAAGCTCTCGGTCGATTTATTTGTTTGCCGCAACTCTGTCAAAATATCTACAAATAGAACAGTCAGCTCTGTAGTCTGGTTACCACTCGGATCGAAGAAACACGAAGAAAAGGGATAAACATTTATTCGATGTTTCATATCCGTAGATGACTTGGCAGTTTTAAGATTTCAAAACCTACGATTTTGCCAGTGGGGTGAGGACTTTGAAAAGCCTGCCCTTAAGACTCCACACCCACATTCTGACGCAATGCGGAAGTTTTAATATATTTCAAATTTTTGAAGGAATAGTAATGATTTCTGTCAGTTCAGCGACCCGCATTTAACAGAAAACCTTAAACAACTTTTATGTTTTTGATTTTTATTTTTCCCAGTCAGTCATTCCTATGATTCCCGTACTTCTCGGTACCGATATACAGATTTCCTACTTCGTAGAGTTCTGTTTTAATCCAATCAACGATAACTGTCATTGCCCCTTACCCTTTTGGTGCAAGGAACCGAGATCACCTGATAATGTTTGTGCACGTGTAACGTGACCAGAATCAAGACATTTAGTTTTGCTTTCAAGTGGAATAACTGAAAATAAACAAAAAAGTAGCTAGAGGAGTCGACTGAAATGAGACTTGAAGCAATTCTAAAGAGAATTGCCAAGCAATTTGAGTTTGCCAGTAAGATGGACTTCGGAATAGAGTGAAACATTGAAGCTTGATGACAAAAACAAACCAAAACAAAGACAACCTCAATAGGATGGTATTTAAGTGTGCATTTTTTTTCTTTAATTTGATATTACTTTCCTAAAATAATTTGTCGCCAAATGTCTCAGCGTGCGTCTATATCGAGCTGGCCAGATATCTGGCCAGTTATGCAATTCGCCAACTTATCCATTACCATTTTATGATTAAGAGCATTTTGGGTATTTTAAATGTAAACTATCTGAAGTATATATCGTAAAATTCGTCTTCCTGAATTTTCTTCACATAACGACAATCAAACATTTTATGATACAAATGAAAAGCGTTCTTTTAGCGCATTTTTCGGTCCTGTGCAACTCGACCGTAGACTGAGTCGTTTATTGTTTTTTTTTTGTATTTAAATAGAACTAGGCCAAGTTACGTTTTTACCGCGCTATTTATATGAAAAATGAAATTCACAAAATCCTTGAAAAAAAAAGGCTTATAATTCACAAAAATAAATAAAGAGGAACCGATCAGTTCCATCATTTCCACATCTAAAACACAGCCGCTCTGAGACACGCCCTTCGCCTCTCTTTAATTTCAAGCCACACTCTGCTCATTTTAAGGTATTTCCAATCAAGTTGGAAAACTAAACGCATCAGAGACACGTCAAGGATGGAATTGCAACAGCGGATGTGAGGCGCCACAACATTGTACACTGCCCCGTTGCACCAATGTGGTATTTCCGCAAACGTTTAGTGGATCTGGAACCGTAAGTAAACCCTAAGCAATTAAAACTTATAGTCTAATCTTCAGGGTTCGGGGTAACTTTCTTTTGTAAGTGAACCACATTAAGCTTCTTTAAAAATCTAATGTTCTTGAAAAATTTTGATTTGCCAAAGTACTTGTGGTTTTCTGATGCTTTGGTGCACATAGGTATGCTTAAGTGCTTCTAATCCCTAGGATGCGTGTGTTTTTGAACAAAACGAATACAAAAAGCCGGAAGATTCTGACGATAAATATAGAAGGTCTCTATTCCATGAAATGGGAATTGGGGGGTAAAATGTGAGAGTGTTTGGAGGGGGGACGAAAGGGAGGCATTCTCGCGCCTTCAGTCACGCCAAGGTCACGCGTGTTTCGCGCGTTTCGCTCGACGGATTAGGAAAAAAAGAGAGACTGCTCATAGTCTAGGGTGGACTTGTCACCTGATAAATTTTCATTGATGCCTGTCTTTACCTAACGCATTTCAGGTTCGAGTTTTTGTGTCATTAAGCCATGAAGATCAGTCTTCAGTTGTTCATTCCCCTTCCGCCGTGTGGGCAGAGTCCGTTAGTACAGCTGCATTTCAGTTATGCTCGCGTGCGACAGGTTCTATAAACGACACTGGAATTATCAACTGGGTAGCGTTTCAGGACAAACCTATGTTAACGCATGGAAGCGTTACTTTTAGCGGAATATGGACAACAGAAACTAAGTGTGAGAAGGTGGCCTTTTCTCAGGTCAGATAACAATAATTGATAACAAGTATATAATTTTGTTACAAAGGTGTAAAACGCAATTAAATAGTAGAAACAAATGAAATAGTATCAGAAAGTAGTTCTAAAACAAGTGATCACTAATTAATATCCGGAATTTGCTCTTCATAGCAGAGTTCACTGCTAAAAGTCTTTTTTTAAAGCTTTCACTCGGGCTTAGTTTCAAACTTTTAAGCCTTTTTCACGTTTTACTTTGGAGGTAGTGATTGAATAATGCGTGACCGTTTTGAATGTATTGATGTGTTAAAGGGAATTTGGAAAATAGAAGTCTATTTATTTAATGATATTAAATTTTAGCATTAAACTTAACAAAGTTGGCCGAAAAGAAACATTGTTGTTTGCAACTTTATTTAAGTAATTGGACAAATAAGATGCTTTCACCAACCTTTTCAACACTTCGTAGAAAGAGGTGAAAATTAAGGGTTGAATATTGAGCCAATGTGAATAGACAAGTAGATTTGATTAATCTGCTCCCCTTAGCCTTTGATAAATCCTTAATTTAATCTAAGTGCCGCTAAGTACTTCATGGATACGTTCCTGCTGATTTATCTCTCGAGAAACTTGTTTATTTTTTAGGCAATATTTTTTGCCAACATCTTTTTGCAGAGCTTTGCTTCCAAGCCTCGTGTATATGCCTCTGTTAAGTACACTCGCAGTACAAAGCCAAATGACGCTATGTACTTATGGTTAGAGAACGTCAACTCTGGAGGATTTGAAGTGTGCTTAAGGGAATTCTTGCCCTTTGATGGAAAACACCAAGATGCAGTTGTAGTAAGTGAAGAAAAATGTCCGAGTAAACTATAGTATTGATGAAAACAAACAAACAAACAAACAAACTTGACTTTGCCACACTTCGGCAGCCCGGAAACCCAATTACCCAATTAAGGTAGTGTCGTGTCTCACGTGTCTCATGCAGTCATTTCTTGTTAAAGGAAATGCGGTTCGAAACCTGACGCAACTCGTCTTGTAAAGAAAAGGGTAGCAAATTGAAATTTCTTGTCCGCAGGACTGGTTTGCATTCACTGGAAATGGGAGTCAACTTAATTTCACAATAACTGGGGAAGAAATCTTTCCAAACAGTGGAAATCCATCGCCCAAAAACAACTACGGCTTCTGTCAGGTGAAAACTTTAGTTCTAACAAGAACATTTAGCAGGCCAAAGAACGCTGATTTTTTAGTGGTTAAGTTCACACTTAAGCAAACTTAAAATACATTAAACCCAAGCTTACTAGGCCATGGTAATCAACATTGTATCCAAAATGGCAATTCCCAGATGAGCGCGACATGTTTATCTCGCGATTTTGATGAGCGCATATTTCGCGATTCTTAAATTTCGTGACTTTGCGAGAATTTTATTTTTCGAATCTCTTCAATTTCGCATTGTAGACAGTGGGCGAATATTAGAAGTGGTGACTTTACAGAAGATGGGCAAAAATAGAAGGAGAAGTGAGCACGTTCAGATCCTTTTACTAACTTCAATTACTTTTTTTACCTATTACAGGAAGTGCCTTTCAATACGACCTTTTACAAATCGCCAATTGTGATTCTTTCCGTAAATCATGAGTATAATCTTAAGGTCAAGGGAAGTCGTCCTCCAGAAAATAACATAATATCAGCCTGGCTAGAGGTAAGTTTGCCTTTTTATTCTAACCTGAGAAAACAGCCCGCCCGACATTTCGCGCGACGCCACGTACCACTAGTTTTCCCACAAAATGAGGAAAACCCCGAAAACGCAATTACTGGCTTTCCCGTGAAAAGACGTCTGTGGAACGACTGCAGAAATTCCATACTGATGACATGTACTTACCAGATCAAGATAGTGCTTCTGATTGGTCATGCTGCAAGAGAAATTTTCTGCATGCCCAGATCTGCGTATATAGTGACACATCATCAGTGTGCAATTTCTGCGCACGTTCCTCAGATCAGACGTCTTTTCACGGAAAAGCCGGTAATTGCGTCATGAAACGGAGTTTTCCTCACTGGGTTATATTCTTGATGGTCACTTAAGTTAATGATAATGAACAGGGATTTTTTCAGTGCTTTGCTACATTATTGTATTCAATTGTTTGCTTGAACTCTCACGACACCTTTGAGACCCAAAAGCCCATATCCCTTGTTCAATCAGGGGAGAGAAGAGATCCGTTTATTCTAGTAAATTTGTAAAAGGACTGTGAAAACTGTGAAAAAGCCATAAGAAAAAAATAATTTGGATCTGATCCATGAATTTCATAACTTAAAGGTATCGTCGTAGAAATCAAGAAGAAATTATGGATTTTCTAGTAACTGATGAGTGTTATCTTATTTTGCTGCAGGAAGTTGGATTAGAATCTATGAAGGTCTGCGTTAAAGACCTCAGTGGATTAGGATCGAGTCATGATCCCTTGATTGTCAGCTACGCTGTTACTGGAGGTTGTTTATAATTTTCCTATTGTAATGATCACTATTTCTAGTAAGAACTATTGTTATTTTTATTATCATTATTACTATTATTTTTATTGATATCTTTTAGAATTTCTTATATGTAGGAATATATTTAACATATTTTATATAATTTTATAATTAAAGAAACACTGGAGTACAAACACTGATTTACCTTATTCATGTTACACTCTATCTTTGCACGAACTTTAAGATTGATCATTGATGGGATAAGAGCAATTAGAGGGCACACAAGTAATAAAATTGCCAATACTAGTAATCGAGTAATCGCGGTCGGGCTTGTTTATTCCCTCAAAAATAAGACGACGATTTTAGTCATGCAAAATGCAAAATGTAAACTTTGACAAGTTTTACGTCACAATTCCTTGCTGTGAAGATTTCCACTGTCGCGTACTGTATTCAAAATCACTTCCACCCATATTTTGCGATTTTCGTTTTTAAGGTCAAAACGTCTTAATTTTCTATTGTGTAGATAAAACAAACTGGACTACATTCTTGTATTTACTGATTTTATCTCTTGCTTGCCCCCTGAGACACCACGTAACATTGCTTTAATTTATTCCATCAGTCCTTAAGCGCGTGCAGAGATGGCGGGTATCGTTAATAAGGTCTACTAAGGATAAAAAAAGAAAAAAAAACCTTAGTTGAGGTACCTACAAGCAAACATGTTACTGCTACTGAACAGTAACTTAGTTTTAATTGAAATATGAAAAATATATTAGACATTTATGTTTTTTTCCAAATGGATAACTACTCAATATTATGTTTCTTTTTTCTTGGTGCAGACCTTAATCCTTGCCTTAATGTGCATTGCCCACGGTTTGGAGTCTGCAGGACCTACAGTGCGCATGACGCTCGGTGTGAGTGCGATGACCAATGCCCTTCATATAAAGACCCAGTGTGCACTGCAAACGGAACAACTTACGACAACCGATGCTGGCATAAGTTAAGCTATTGCAGAGGACTTGAAAATAATCTGGTTTATCACCCTGGAAGCTGTGAAGGTATAACGAAAAATAATGTCAGCGATTCTTTTTGGCTGTATATGCCACATAAAATAGTCTGGGAGTTAAGCTCTCGATTGCTTAGAATTATAGGTGTTGGCTCAAAATTGAATTGACTTCAAGCTATGATGTTTATAACTTTTCGTTACTTTTAAGCTCACTTTTAGCTCCTCACGCAGGCTAAACAACGATAGACAGCTGTAACAAGCTACTTCGTCTCTCTGCTTTGGCAAACAAACATATAGCAGCCCAGACTATAGCCAATGTTTGGTCTGTGTAAGATCTTTTATCTCATTTGTCTTGCAATTTAGTTTTTATCACGTAAAATTAGATTACACAAATTTGCTCGGGGCAAATATGGTGCAAAAAGTGGAAAAGAGGAGGAAATCAAAGACAAAGGTAGTAAATATCGCATTTACATACCAGTTTACATGGAGTTGCATAATTGAGGGGAAATGCAGTATTTACTATCTTTGCCCTTGATTTCATCCTCTTTTGCACTTTTTTTTGCACCTTATTAGCACTGAGTGAATTTGCTGAAAATTAAATGTTTCCCGCAGCGACGCGCGTTCCCAATATACTGGCATATGTTTATCTTTATACTGGCACGCTGTTTTTATCACCACCCTTCACCACTTAGAGTTGCACTACAACGCAAGCTAGGGAAGCTACCTAAGCGATAATGCTTAAAGAGCTCAGTGATGCTTCCTTATAAAGTACTTAATTTATTACAAAACAGGTTTTCCAATTGTTCGGGGCCGTGTAGATCTGCTACAGGTTCCAAAATGGTCAGATTCAAACTGTCAGACAGTCACATTTCCTCCATACCGGTTTTATCCGGATAAACAAGTTCATGTTCAAATAACCGTCAATCACATGAAGCTGAATGACTCTGTGACAGTCCACGACGCTGTTACTTCATGGACAGAAAGTATCAACACAAAAAACTTCACCGTCTGTGTCATGCAAACCGGGAGGAAAGAAGAAGGCGCGAATCCATTTGCCACCATTGATTGGGTGGCTTATCAAGGAGCACCGCCCGAAGGATTGACGGGAACGTTTGAGTTGCAGAAATGGTGGTCTGGTACCAACTGCGCAGATGTAACCTTTCCTACGGTGAGATGGGAATGTACATATTAAATTAAATAATTGTTGCAAATTCAATTGAGGTCTCCATGACGAATGTTAGACTTTCAATCATGTGACATCTTTAATCCATGTCTTGAAAAAATAACAAAAAAAAAAACAAAGCAAAACAACAACAACAACAACAACACCAAAAACAGCAAAAAACAAAACAAATAACTACTAAATAATTGGAAAATTGAGTCTTGTGACCCTTAGCCAAAACATGACAGATTTAATCACGACTTGTCTACGTAACAAAAGAAGAAAAACATCAAGAGCGAAAACTGTGAAGGAGAGACCTCCTTAACATCCATTTCAACAAAATGAAGCGCTAATCTGATATAAAGAAGCAGCTTATAACAACAACAACAAAAAAAAAACAACAACAACAACAAAAAAACACAAAATATTTGTTTATCTATTTGAATTAACTGAATGTGGAAAGACAAGAATTCACTTCTTAAGTTAAAGAACATATTAAAACTTTCCTTGAACTAGAAGAATGAGACACAAAGTTAACAAAAAATAACCGATCATTACGAGGTAACTGGTGAGATGATTGCTAGATCTTCTAAAAAGTTGTGACCGACTTAGCGACTTAGTTAACAAGACAACATTAGGTAACAAGTAAGAATGGGAACTTACTTAGTGGTTAGTTTCAAGTAATTTTGCAGAAATATTAAAAAAAAAAGCTGTTTCGATTATTGTTATTGCTTTTTCTTCAGGGCAAGTTTGCCGAGGCGCCAATAGTCCTTGTGACGTCAGAGCACCTGAGGACTGGTAAAGAGTATGATGCTGCTCTCATTTGGATTGAAGACGTAACAAAGGACTCAGTTAAAGTCTGTCTTCGTGAAATGCAAAACTTTGACGGTAGACACCAAGATATCACTGTGGTAAGTTCTTAGTCAGATTTTAAAAAACTGGAACGCGACTGTCAAATTGGTCTTCCTTGTCCCCATGCCTCCCTTCACGCTCTTACGTGATTCGCCTGTCTTAAAAAATGTGGATTTGCATCCTTTTGTTCACTCTTTGCGCTCTTTGTTAGGTCACAACTTCATAGAGTTCAAAATACTTAGATTCAAAGGGGCTTTTATCATTGGTCGTATAGATTACTGCAACAGCCTTCTATTTGGTTTACCCTCTGTTCATGTACTTAAACTGCAACACTTGCAGAATGCAGCTGCTTGGCTTATATCTAATGTCCCTCGCTACAGTCACATAACACCGGAACTATGTTCGTTACACTGGCTTCCTGTCAAATTTCGTATTGATTTTAAAATACTTCTTTTTACTTTTAAAGCTATCTACGGTCATGCGCCTGGTTACTTGATCGATTTGATTGCTATTAAAGAACAGCCGCGCTATAATCTCCGTTCAGCTAGCGGTCTTATCTTAAAGTACCCTAGTTTAAAACTGAAAAAGACTTTAGGGGATCGTGCTTTTTCATCTGCTGCCCCTAATTTATGGAACAATCTTCCCCTTCACATTCGTCTTGAGGACAATTTTGAACGTTTTAAATCTTTACTTAAAACGCATCTTTTTAGACTAGCTTTTGATATGTAATTTTTTTTTAACCGACTATGTAATATATTTAGTGTTTTTTTAAATCTTTATTTTAATTTTTAGCGTTGTTTATTCTTAGCCTTAATTATTTTGCTCATTTTAGCTTTTATTTTCTTTAACATTTACGTGTTGTCACGCGCTTTTGATCATATTTGCATGGAAAAGGCGCGTTATAAATTTTTAATTATTATTATTATTATTATTTTTTAAATTATTATTATTACTAAAAATGATGAGGTTATTTACATTTTTTTGTTGGTGTAATACGATTTTCTGTCACAAGATGGATGGCATCAAGACTTTTGTTTTTACCTCTTTTCACAGAACTGGTTTGCCTTTTCCAAACTGCACAAGCCTCTTTTCACTGAACATGGTGTCATAAGTTTTCCAAATACGAACCCACCTTTGGATAAAATGAACAATGCTTATTGCCAGGTGAGAAAAGAATTCTTTGCAAAAGCACCGAGTAGCATGCTGTTCACAGCATGTTCCCTCACAGATATATTGCTTACTTTCATCACTGTTTATATTTTCAAAACACTTTTAGTCATATCCACATTACGCAATAGAGATCAAAGTGACTAGAAAAGTAAAGAAGCTGGTCCACTAAACAATACTTTAAGACAAGAGCTCAAGAAGTACAGACCGATAACGTCCCTCTTAACCATCGACAAAGTGTTTGAGCAACTGCTCTGTAAACAGGTGACTGTGAAACTCGACCACATCTTTTCTAGCCTAAGCACTGCTTACAGAAAGGGACACAGCTGTGAAACCACTCTACTACGTCTGAATGAGGACTGGAAGCTAGCAATAGACAGGAAAGAGCTAGTGTGTATTCTATCGACTGATATGAGTAAAACGTTTGACTCTCTCAGTCACTCGCCGACACTAACAAAGCTTGAAGCATACGGTTTTGAGTCCTCAGCATTGGACCTCACGCGATCATTCTTTAACAACCGCCAAAATGTTCAACCCCCTGCTCTGGAACGTATTTCAGAATGACCTGCCCTGCTCCATAACTACCGCTAAACTTTCGATATATGTAGACGACCACCAGTTGTACACCTCAGGAACTAATTTTACAGCTGTAAGGGAAGCCTTAGAGCAGGAAGATCAACTTACCGCGTCTTTGTATCGTGATAATTTTCTACTCCCAAATCCTGACAAATTCCAGGCGATGATCCTTTATAATAGAAATATTGACATTGAAGGCTAATACACTGACATAAGCATAGATGGTAGGGTCATTACAAACACGGATTACATCAAACTACTTGGCGTCCACATTGATTGCAGTACGAACTTCAGTGGTCATATTAGCGAACTGTGTAAGAAAGTCAGTAAGAAAGTAGGGATCCTAATGCGCCTGCGCAATCTTGTTCCCTGCTCAGCTGTAAGTCTTCTATAAGTCTTCCATCCTGCCTTACCTCACCTACTGCCAGCTGGTATGGCACTTCTGTAAGGCCTCCGACAGCAGGAAAATAGAACGCCTTCAAGAACATGCCTTAAGAGCGGTATACAGAACTAAGTCCGCCTCTTACCAAACACTACTAAAATATCAGGACTACCCACATTGCAAAATCGTAGATTGCAGGATATAGCTTTACTTGTGTACAAAGTCAAGAACAACCTCGCCCCTACCGACGTAGCAGAACTTTTAAATTTAAATAATCTGAGGTATTCTCTGCGAAACAAGGACTTTCATTTACCTCCTAGATTCAATACTGTAACCTACGGCAAACATTCACATCGTTACTTTGGACCTTTACCATGGAAGAGACTAAACAACAAGGTCAAGCAATCACCTAGTCTTCAGTCTTTCAAGAACGCTATCAGAAATTTAGATATTTCTGTTTTTTTATTATTTTATTTTATTAACTTCGCCCCCCAAAAAACAAACAAACAAACAAACAAACAGAAAGAACGTTGGCAGGGACACCGCAACAGCTGTGGCCAATTACAGTGGGCCCGGAAACTAATAAAAAAATAAAAACAAGAAATATTAAAAAACACAGCGATACAAGAAAAACCGCAGCTACATACATATGTGTTATTCACTGACTTGTAGGTCCGTATTGGGAAAAACTGTGCCCGAGGTCTTGAGTACCGCCCGAGGGCACAGTTTCTCCCAATGCGGACCGACCTAGGCCAGTGAATAACATTTTTATTTTTTTCCATCTGAGATTTAAAAGTTTCAGAAAATTTTTCTTACTTTCCAACCTATGTGTATTGAAGTAGGACACGTCCATGTTGATGAAGCGCCCGCTGATCGATTGCAAACCAAAACAAAACATTACAGCATGATTTTTAGCTCGGTAATTTATATTTTGGCACTCAGTGCTCTCTTTTAGAATAAAGAAAGGTTTTTGTGTCTTGCTAGACAATTCATAATCTGAGTGTCACACAAGGACAAAGGATTGACGAGCTTGATGTTAAAAGCGCAAGGAAAAAAATACAGCAAGGATTTTCTTCGGCTGAATAATTCAAAAATTGTTTTAAGATTAGTTCAATAGAGTAGGATGAAAACTGCACAAAGGTTTTGTAAAAACAGCTAATTACAAATACCAATTTTAAGGTTTTGAATTGAAATCGAATAAAAGAAGGGGATGTGAGTAACAAGTTATAAACAAAGAAATGAAAACGGCGATAACCGACTGCTGAAAAAGTGATTCGTGTTGTATATTTAAGATTGAAAGTTAAATGCAATCATAGACAACAACCTTTTCTGATAAGTAGAAACCTAGCGAGGCAAAATTCAATGAAAAACGGCAGAATCTAGATTCATACAGCAAAAGTGGAAAACAAAACTACAAACAGAGCAAAAATGTCCAATAAACGGTGCATAAAAGCAAGATTGCAGTACTTACAGCGCGGTTACAAAGCTAGTGAAGTGACATCACGAGCCACCTGTTTTGCTTTACTTTTGCCGTTTTCTTGGCTGACTTGCTTGATTCTCCCTTCAGATTTTTTGTCTGAATAATAAAATTCACTTTTCCCTAGCTAATGCTAATAACAGCGCAAGTTTCAAGAGAAAAATGGTTTCAAAAGGACGGTTTTTGCTCATTCACAAACAACCAACAAACTTGTGAATGAAGCTGCCGACGATTCTGCCCGGGTTAGCGGGCAAGATCGTAAAATACCGCCCGCTCTCGGAACCAATCAGATTGCAGGATATGGAGGATTCTGCCCGCTCACAAGCTTGGGAAAAGATAAAACAAGTTATTGGACGAGACAAGGGACGAGCACTGTTACATTTTAAACAGATAGACTTGAACGAACTTGGATCTTCACAATCATAAGAAACAGCTAACGCGGACATATGATAATTAAAAATAATTGATTTAAGGTAGGACAGAGGAGTTCACGTTAACAAGACCGTGTGTCAATTGGAAAAAAAGGGTTAGAGCTAAAAGTTCATGCCAGTAACAAATAGGTATTAGGTTTAGAGTTTGTAAACGAGACTTATAACTCATATTAGAAGAATAAGGCAATTTTACCATAAACTTAGTCGTGCGTCTTTGGATACGTTCAAGCTTGACAATGAGCTCGATGGACCGCGGGGCCCAAATCTGGGTGGCGTATCCCAAATGTGGCCTACCTAGGGCTAGGTATAGCGTTCGTCTTACGTCGGCTCTAAATATGAACCTCGTGTTCCTCTTTAAGTATCCAAGTAGTTTTTTAGCACCCAAAGATTGTTCGTTTACTTTTTTGTACCATGTCAGATCCTTACTAATCCATACGCACAGATCTTTTTCTGCAACATATAATTCAAGTGCGGTGTTGTTGAGTTTGTAAGAGGATAAGATCGGCTTTGTTTTCCTTGTTATGTGCTGCGCCTTATACTTAGCTTCGTTAAAAAGGAGACCGGATGATTGAGACCAAGTTGCAAGCTTACCAAGGTCTTTCTGGAGAGAAGAGGCATCTCCCAAAGTCTTTATCTCGCTGAATATTTTTGTGTCGTCAACGAACATCAATACTCGACTGCTAGAACTGATGACTTCGGGAAGGTCGTTGACGTATAAGAGGAAGGGGGCTGGTCCGAGTACGGAACGCTGAGATACTTCAGAGGTAACAGGAAGATCCTCTGAAGTGGCGCCGAGTACCGTAACGCGTTGGCGTCGACCTGACAGGTAAGAGCAGAACCAGTTAAGCAGTTTGCCACCGAAACCGGCCTGGATTACCTTATGGACGAGGCGCCTGTGACTGACTTTGTCGAAAGCTTTAGACATTTCAAAGTAGATGGTGTCAACCTGGCTGCCACTATCTAAAAGTGAACCAATGTGGTCAAAAGCCTCAAGCAGGTTGGTGACGCACGATCTTCCAGTACAAAAACCATGTTGTTTAGGTGAAATTACATTGTACAGGTGGTCCATGATGCTATTCAACAGACGACGCTCAAAGACCTTGGACACTATTGGGAGTAGAGAGATGGGGCATAATTTTCCACGTGGTCTTTCGCACCCTTTTTGTGGACAGGCACGCCGTTAGCTAGTTTCCAGTCACTCGGAAGAGACCCTAGTTGCGGTGATTTGTTGAAGATCTTACATAAGGAAGGAGCAATCACTGAGGCAGTCTCTTTGAGCAATTTAGCAGGGATTTCGTCCGGCCCTGTGGCTTTACCGACTTCTAGTGCTTTGAGTGCAGCTAGAACCGTGGACTCACTGAAAGTTAGATCGGATATAACAGTGTCCGAACGTATGCACGCTGTCTTCTCCACTGCGCTGTCGATAGTAAATACAGAGGCAAAAAAACTGTTAAACAGGTCAGCTATTCCCGCAGGTGTATCAGCACTTACTCTTGAAGGGTTTTGTGACTGGTCAGCGGAAGAGTCTGGGACGGTTACCATGGAGACATGGCCTAGGATGGGATGAGATTTAGAGTTAGGCTTCAAAATGACCATAAGCGCTTGGGATTGAATCTAAAGCCAGTGTCAATGGAGTAGTAAAAGTGATCATAGTTTTCGCGAAGCAGTTTCTTGACTTGCGCGCGCAGAGACTTAAACTTATCCCTCAGGCCGGCGTTCGGATGTGACTTCAGTTTTTGGCGAACTGAGTTCTTTTCTTGATTAGGTTTAAAATATTACTATCTATCCAAGGAACCGAGTTACGGCCTTTCAGTTTCTTCGATGGCACGAAGTCCTTGACAGCAGCTAAGAATAAGTCCTTCCAGCACCGCCAGTCATCATCTATATTGTTATGGCCCACAATAGAAGAAAGATTGATTGCCGAGAGAGCTTCACGCAAACCTTCAAAATCGCCAATTGCGTAGTCGTAGACAAATTTGCGCGGGTGTGAGGACGCATTAACAAAAGAATTGTACTCAAACAGGACTACACAATGATCCGTAAAAACACCGGCTTTATCAGGTAACAACGCCTCGGTCACTTTGGTGTGATCTGGGGCACTTCTTATCGCTAGATCAAGAATGTTACTACCGCGAGTCGGTGTGTGGTTAGTTTGCGTCAAGAAGTGGTCATGTAACGCCTCGATAAATGGAAGTTCGTTAGCACCTGAGGCGCTATCCACGGAGTCCCAGAATAATAATGTAATCTTCTGATCAAATTGAGGAGAAAATAACTGTGACTGTTATGACCTTTACTGATCCTAATTTTATGATTTTAAGATTTTTAAGATTTTAATATGTATTATTATGAATTACTATGTATTTTATATTAGTGTGCCCAATTAGAATATATCATTATAATTAGTATTATCATAGATTATTATTATTATTATTATTATTATGTAATTTTAGACAAGTGTCCCCAATTAGCCATATACGTTTGACACTTGAAAAAAGTTCTTATGTCTTATTATATTGTTATAAGACATATCAAAACATCAAAATGGCAGTTTGTTCTGTTAAAATGATTAATCGCAAATATTGCTTGTTCAATTGGGACTTAAATAAACACATTGACGGGAACTGAAGCTTTTAGTGAGTAGGGAACAGTGTTAAACGTTTTACGTTTCTCTTCCATGGCAGTTCGTTTCATTCACGAGAGCTTATAACTCGACTCCAACAGTTCTTGTCTCAGCCAATCACAGCACGACGGTATCTGGGAATTCAGCACCAAATCACAACGGAATTACAACTTGGATCGAGGTAAAATTTTTCGTAATTGGGGAGGATTGTGGGGATGTATCAAGGCAAACAAATTTCAAACCAACACTAGACGAAAGATATAACTGAACAGAGACACACGCTTGCTTGAGGCGATGTATAGGTCAATAATAGGTGTGGCGCAAAAATGTACCGAGTGAAGTTGAGACTGCTTATTGGCTTCCTTTTGACGTTAATTATCGAATACGATTATGGTGTCGGTACAAATAATAATATCTTTAAATTATCAGCAGGGGCCGCGCGGTGGTCTCGAACTTCAGATCTGATTGTGCGGTTTTAAACTTTACTTTAGAGCTCTTTCCTTGGACACGAAACTTTGCTCCAATCATTTGGCTGCTTTCTTCATCAACAGGGATATTTAGCTCCGTCCTTCTGGGCCTCATAGCTCATTTGTGCCACAGCCGTGCCCCTTATTAGGGTAAAAAGGATATTTTGGATAAAATTTCGAGCATTAATTCACCGTATATTTTTATACCTTTCTTTAATTACTTTCATCAAACCACAGTGTTAATTCACGGCAGATCTTCGCATCTCTATGTTACATAAAGAAGACGTAGGGGAACGTTTAAAAATATTCTGGTATTCTCTTCCTTTTAATTCAGTTGTTTTATGACTACAATTTTAGCTGTACTAAACTACGCTGAGTGTTTATTATCTTTTTTTCAGAACATGAATACCTCTGGATTCAGAGCCTGTGTCAAGGTATACGGGACCAGATATGACCCCTTGTCCGTCAGTTATGCCATTAACTCACAGGTCTGTAATATTACTGGTTCATTTATGAAGTAGTTTTAGCAAATGAAAAAAACGTTATTTGTTACCGGTTCATCTGGAAATACTTTTGAAATACCTAAACTAATAACACAATACAAGTTGATGGCTTTGCAAGTCATGGCGAGAGTCAAGAGAGTGTACCTGTTGACATAAAAAGATTCTTGAAATTCTTTCAAGTTATAATTTTCCTACCCCTCGAACAATTTCACCGTTGAATTAAAAGTTTCCTTCAAGGATAAATAACGAAGCCTTCCCGCAGACGTCCTTTGGGGTTCGTTTGTCACGCATTCATGCGTGACAAACGAACAACCGCTCGCTGCGGGGCTATAAACTCTTTGGATGAAGAACCTTGCTAGAAATTAAAAAGCACCATGCTTAAAACAATCGTTTGAATAGTTCGATATATTTTATCTCTATGCAGTGGTATATCTATCGCTAGTCTTCTATCCAATAATATCTTACTAGTACCTTGAAACCATTAAGCTTTGGAAAACATTTTCGCATCTCGCTCTAACAGTACTGCAGTGAGATGCTGCTAAGGATTTATCAATCCGGCAGTTTATTTGAATGTATATATTTTTTGACAACACGTTTATCTGTATTTCGCAGACATCTGTGAACCTGGCTGGAACTATTTTAACGGCTTTTGCTATTTCACAAGTAAGACTTGTCAAAATTGGACCACAACACTGGATAAATGCCGACAAGAAAACTCGGTTCTTGTTGATGTCCAAAATAACGAAGAAAATGTGTTTTACAGCATCTACAAATGGAGCAAAATCCTGGCTGGGATTGAATGATATTTTCACAGAGGGCTCCTTTACTTGGGCAGATCGTGGTACGGGGAACTTTACAACTTGGGCTAAAACCAACCAGAACAATTTTCGGGATGAAGACTGTGTGCATACACTTGGTGTTGAATATAAATATGGAATGGAATGACGTGAAATGCAGTGACTGTCATCAGTATACTTGTAAGAAAAGGTAAGATGTGATGTATAAGTTTAGGAATGCACAAGAAGAAGGACTGAGTTCAAGCTGAATGAATAAATGGCAGCATCATGAAGCGTATGATATTATTAGAAATCTATATTTCATACCACCAAATAACGTGAAATGGAAAGAATGTACTTGTAAGGATTTTCCTTTGAAAGTGGTAGAAGGTATAGAGGTGAGGTTTGTAAATTCACAAAAGGAAAAGCCCTTAACGGGTTAAAACAGACACAATTGATATTAAAAACTTCAATGAAATCAGTTGTTGTTTTTAATTACGTCCCCCAACAAATCGTATTTTGATGTGTTAATCGTGATAAATAGTTTGTTTTATTTTGGATAGATCTCAATGAATGGTAGGGACAAAGTATTACTGCCATCAGGTCGCCAGCTGCAAAAATTATCGTGGTTCATTTACTTGCACTTGTGATCAAAGGCTACTTTGGAGACGGCTTTGAGTGCGAGCTCAATTACGCAAAGTATGATCAGATACAAAATTGCAGCGCTGCATATTAATGATGAACAGCAAGTTGATTTACAGTAATCTATTCTCACTGGAACCATCAGCAAAACAATTCCCGTGATCCCAATAATATAGGGAGACCTAGCCGGAGACGGTAGGGCAGGGGAGCTCCTGGTAAAGAGATAGTTCATCAATGCGGAGAAATGGGTGGGGCGTGTAAAGAAATGTACGAAACACTGAAAAGACTGAGCAGGCTATTAATTGCGAAGAGAAACTAGCGTTATACATAGGTATAGGATAACCACGAGCTATACGCGGCGTGTTAGTATCACGCTCTTTTTATTGCGGAGTTCTTATGTTTTCAATGGCCATCATTCAGTAGCTTCTACTGCAACGTCTTAATTTTCGAGTGTCTTTTATGATTTCCATTCTAAATGACACGCTATGGAAGAAGTAGCTGCGCAGGCGACATGGTATCCTCCTCCTTCTTACGAGTCTGAAGTTTGCAGTTTAATTCGGTGGCCTGGTTAATATTTTGCATATTCGGTAGCATGCGTAACGAGCACTTGGAAAGTGGGCGAAAGAGAACGGCCGCGCGCGCTCGAGGGAGACACGCTCGCGTGCCCGTTACTTCCAACGCCTGCAACGCAGGCTACATATTCAGCAATTATTACCCCTAGTTTTAGACTCTTGCTGTGAGGAAAGGCATTCGAAACTAAAATTGATAATTTTGCCTCGCAAGGTAAGAATCCGATTCGCATTGAAAAGATTTTTAAATTCCGGGTCCGTTCGAGGCCACCAACTAAGGGTCTTTAACAGCCGCTGACTGAGAGGCTAAATTGTTTCCTTGGAAAAGGCATCTACAAATGGTTAAAATTTTAGTCTTCTCAGACAGGACGATAAACCGTAGGCCCCGTCTCCTAAACGCTTTAAAGAACTCATGCTCTGTTCGTAAAGATTAGGGGACGCATTCTCCGGTGCTGTGGTCTATCTCCCAAGGTGGGCGGGACTGTTTTGGGCCCTCGGTAATAAGCGCCACGCGCTGTTGCGGTGACCCTGCCAAGAATTGGTGAACCTAAGTAAGTAAATTAGTAATAACTTTGTCACTAATTTTTGTAGGGGGTTTGAAACAGTCTACTATTGTGGGGAATGATGCTAACTACTTGCAATATTTAAGCACCTGGCTCAAACCAGTTGCTCAGAGCAAATCTTCACGATGGAAGCGTTGTTGGCGTGCGTCCGTGGATGGCTGGGCTGCCAGTACTTTTCACAGCGGATGTGACAACAAAGGACCAACTGTAACAATAATAAGAGTCGGCGGAAAATACATTTTTGGAGGTTACACCAGCCTCTCATGGGGTAAGTGGTTTGGTTTTTCTAAAACTGGGCATTATTAGCAAGTAAAATTGTCCAAGGAAGTATTTGAAGTAGAAAATAATATTACCACGAAGAAGACTAAAAAAAAGGTGCATTCACGTAATTTTATCACCCTTATCCCATTTCGGTCAATTCGCCAAATGAAGATAAATAATTCTGGGTTTAAATTCGAAAAGTTTCTACCAAATATTAGAGACAGAAAATCGTTGTCTTGTGGTCACATTCCCCATAAAACTAAAATTAGGACGTTTTATATCGTATTCGAGCTGCGATTTCGCCGACAATTAAATTCTGTGCTGACGCATTTTCTTTTCAGGGTTTTTCCTCTCTAAAGAGTTTTTCAGGCAAAGTATCCGCACTATTGTCTCAAGTGCCGTTGTAATTAAAAAATCAGTAATAAAAAATAACTAGAAGGCGAGTGTGAATTGATCAAGGCTTAGCTTCCTTTTCCTGCCTTAAGACTAACATGAAAACTGTATGTAAATAGTGCAAGTTAGATGGGGAAAATTACCACTTCTAATCAAGTCTTTTCTTGTTATAGTTCACCAAAAAAATTAAACAGATCTAGAGAGAGTATTTTGATGAAAGCTACGTATACTGATATCAACCTGAGTAATAGCTTGGAATCCTGGTTTTATCTCACCTATTATGTGACGTTGACGTGTAGTTCAATGATCACACATTAGTTCATTGAGCGTAAACTACGCGTCGCTGCGGGAAAAATAATCACAAATACGTTAGATTTTTTTGATATGAATGTGTAGCGTTATTAGATTAAGTGGTTAATGCTCATTTAGCAACGATCCAAGAACTATATTGAGAAATAGCTATGGTACACTCATGTTATAAAGTTCTAGTGAGCTCACTAAATATAAACAGGAAGATAGACTGATGGTAAGTTAAAGTTATAGTCTGCTCAAATTAGGTCTGTCATTAGGAAATCTTAACAAGAAGGATATTTATAAGCTAAAGATAGAGGACCCTTTTGCCAAAGAATTTGCAGAAATTTGGTCTGACACTTCCTTTGGGGGGAGAATAGTATTAAAATATCATTTTCTCATCTCTACCTTTGTTGCAAAATTCATTAATATTCCGCACCTGAGTTTTCTGCAATGATTGACCTACCATCAATAACACAAAAAGTTAAACATCTAATGGACCATAATTCTCTCAACTTCTTTTCCCTCGACCATTTTCAGAATAGATATGATATTTGAGTAATACCCTTAATGTTTTTCGGAATAGTCTCAGCCGTGAAATGTTTGCAACGACAAACCCCGGGAAAACACCAGCAACATGACAGTTCTTTCAACACATTTTTCAATTGCCAAAATTCATCTAGAATTGTTTTCAAACAACAAATGGTATAAAGACATCTGCTCTTCAACCGGTAAAAATGTTAACTCGAGAAACGTTTTTCAGGCAGCAAACACTTGTACAACGATCTGAAAACTAATTAATTTTAATTTCAGATTTTTACATAGACGTTTACCAACTAACAGCTATCTACAAAAATAGGAGTTAGAGAGGACGGAAAGTGTACTTTTTGCCGCGACGAGAAAGAGGATTTGACGCATCTGTTTTGGAAATGCCAAAAAACCCAAAATTTTTGGGATAACTTCTCGTTATGGCTTCAGTCGTGCCAGATCCTCCAACCAGACAATTACTTAGACATGACCACCGTTTCGATCCTTACTCCAGACAGCTCATCCTTTAAGCTCCATATAATTTTATGTTGCCTTTTAGCTAAAACCTTTATCTGGATATGCAGATTGAAGGAATGTTATTCAAATGACAACAACTTCCTACTTTATCTGAGACATATACCAATTAGAAAATAACACACCAAGCAATATATATGTATATATATCTGTCTGGATTTGCAAAAAACATGGCTACAGAAATCTCTCTTCTATACCCTCTGACTGAGTCTTGTAGTGGAGCATTTTTTTTATAGCTACTTGTTATTTATTTAATCGGTACCGGAAAGGCCACAGTAGATCGACTTTCATGAGTTTCTCACTGGCTATTAAGAGCAGTTGTCTGTAAGATTCGAACTATATTGAAAAGTCGCTGCCACACTATCTCACCGAATTGGCTAAAAACTGGAATGTAGACTTGATGATTTGGGGTCTTTAATAAGGAATAGGTAACTTTAGGTTCTAATTTCTTCCTTTGGACCGGCGCCATATTGGTTAATAGAAGATGTTTTTGTGCCGTCGACTACAACCCTGTCCTCAAAGCTAATCTTCCTTTGCCGATACACGTTGAAAGAACTATCCCTCTTTATTGTATTTTTAGAAACTACTTCGAAATTGATAACGTTTTTGCAACGATCGATTAAACTTTTGGTGGGTATACTTTTTGAATTTTTTACACCTGTAAAATTAACAGAAATTCAAAGGCGTAGATCTCTCTTGCCACATCGCATTGAAGCTTGCCACTCTGCCTGAATACTCATTGTTTGTAGTTAAATCGAGTTCGTTATTTAAAAAAGGGCAAATTTAATGGAGCGGAAACAAAAGTTATGAATGAAAGAGTGTTCTAGCGACTTTATCAATAAGCTTTACACCAAATACTCGCCAGGTGTTGCCAAAATTACAATCGATAATAGAAATTCTGTCACTAAATCTCAGTGGTCTATATAATAAAACTAGAACCACTACGTGGAACTTACCGGGGCCCAGTGGGACACGGGATTGCATAGATATAGTTTACCTCTCGCACCCCTCCCCCCTCCTCTGTGGAGGCTAATACTTAGTCTGAATTAACTCATGCAGAAGAAAAGCAACAAAATGCATGAGAAAGGAGGATGTTGTTGGAAGTTTGTTCAGTGTTATTACAGCTAACGGTCTGTGTTATAGTAGTGTTTTTAGTAACACTGTGATGTCAATAAGTGTGATCTGTATAAGGTTTTCATTTGTTTTTAAGTTTGAGTGAAAAAGCAAAAATCACTGACAGTTTTGGGTTGAATGGTAATGACAAAGTTTGCAAAGAAGTTTGTTATAGAATTATCACAATTTCACATTTTCTCAAGTACGTTACCATCAGGTTTATCATTGAGATTTATTAATCACATTTATCTATTTTTTGCGAAAACACTGTGAATTTGAAATAATAACAGACATAAGACATTTTTGAAATAGATCTTTGTGGTCATGGATTGTTGTCTTGCATTGTAAAAAATGTCATCCAGTGTGTTATATATAGACATAATAAAATGCTTATTTATTGATGACTGAGTATCATTTGTTAATTCATTGCACATTGAAATGGAGGCACTTGATTGTAAGGCAGTGGTTGATACATAGTAGCATTCATCAATATGACCTATAATAATTGTAGAGGAAGTATTTCTTTCCTGAACTGGGTAAACAGTAGTATATCTGCAACTGCTTGAATGATGAGTGCATCAGCCCATGTATCTTGAATACACATATTCAGATATCTTAGCCATGAATTTTGGTATTGCTCTCAATAAATCTCTGGATTGTCTCTCATAAATTGAACCCCAGCAGTACGTATATGCATATGATGGTTATTATTGCCATATAATTGATGTGGTACAGATCTAAAGAAACAATCACCTGCACTGCCAACATCTATTGATTGTAAACAAAGTGCACCCAATCTTGATCAATCAAATTCTCAGAAATAGGAGGTTCAACTGCATTGTTGAGCTGTGATTTTATAGAAGGTCTAATTATTACTTCATGATGATCAGTGTTGTATTGAGTAGGCCCCGTTCTTCTCAACATCTTTACTTAGTTTGGAAATTCACATATAATTGGTCATATGGACTCACACAAATTGCAAGAAAACAATGTTAAATATCGACGTTAACTTTACATTTTAGTTTCATTATCCCAGATAATGCCTGCTAAAGAAAGACAACAATACATG